CCGCCTCGGCCTCCCAAAGTGCTGGGATTGCAGGCGTGAGATATTACACCTGGCCAATTCTCCTTTTCTTACAAGAACACTGGTCACACTGCATTCAGAGCCAACCCTAACCCAGTATCGCCTCATCCTGATTTGATTCTATGAGCGCAGACCTTGCTTCCGAGCGAGGCCACTTCCTCAGGTACTGGTGGACATGAGTCTTTGGAGACACTGCTCAACCCACAGCACTCCCCCAGCTTGATTTCTGTGACTTGTTTTCCCCAGAGGAGGGGTGCCCTGAGAGGTCTCCACTGCCTGACCGGCTCCTTGGTGCCAAGCACTCTGCGAGGCTTCCCAGGGAACAGAGCACACAGGACCGCCCTCCTAGAAAGACCAACCAGCATCTGAGCTCACAATTTCCCAGCAGGGCAGTGGGGTGGAGAGAGAAGCCTGGGCTGGGCTGGGCTGGCGAAGCTTCTCTGGGGAGGGGACGTCAGAACAGGGTCTGGGGCTGACAAAAGCCCGCCCCTGGCTGGGGGCTGAGGGGGCAGGGGGCTGAGCCTGACACATGGGGATAGAGGACAGGCTGTGGGAGGGTGTGAACAGGAGAGTGCTTGAAGGGGTGCTGGGGACTTTGAGAGAGGGCAGCTGGCCCTGTCTGGTGGGGAATGCTGGCCCAGAGACAGGCCATGGCTGGGGTGGGGTTCAGAAACAGGACCACTGTCTCCCGGGCCAGGGCCCTCCCCAGCTACTACTGGCTTTCCGGCTCTTGGGGTCGGGGGCGGGTCTGTGCCATGACCCCGCCACTGAGGCTGTGAGGAGGCTGGGGGTGCCCAGGGGCACCAAGGCACACCCCTACTCTCGCACCCATGTGTGGGCCCGAGCACCTGCTCTGCTGCCCCAAGGATCTGGTGATGTTTCCCAGGCAACTGTCTCACACAGCCTATCTGCCTGGCACTCCCGTATCCCGTAAATGCCACCACATCTGACTACAGGCGGGCGTGTCTGCCTGGCATCCATGGGCCAGCAGGTGTGGCAGAGCACAGCCCGCTTCCTGGCTGTGTCGGAAGGCTGCCCGGGCGTTTTGGCTGTTGTTGCCAGCAGGCGAGCATTGCCAGGGCACTGTGCTTGGGCGCCAGGCCGTTTTGCCACGTGGGAAGGGGTGGAGACAGCCCAGTGCCTTCAGCGTGTACCCAGGGTGCCTGCTGGTCACACGTCTCACTGGGAAATTGGGAGGGTGCACTGCCATCGGGCTGCTTAGGCCTGCCAGCCTCCGGGCCTGTCACTGCTGTCTTAGCCTGATTTGCAGGGTGTGAGCGCTGGGCAGAGACGATCATCCGGGGGACTCTGAGGATGCCAGTGGCTGGGACACTTGTTCCTTCGTGGTGGAAGGAGTTGGAGAGGGTTGGCTCCCTGACCTGCAACCAGCAGACCTCAACGGGCTTCTGAAACCAGCTCAGTGGGCTGGGGCCTGATCCATCATCCATAAATGCGTCCTTTTATGCCACAGAGGGTGAGGGGCCTCCTCGCCCACCGGTTTGCAGGTGTGGCAGTACGAGATGGGCGGCTCCGATGCCCCCACCCACTTGAACACCTTCGGCTCTGCCTGGGGTGCAAACTCCCACGGCTGAAACATTTTTTTGTAAACATGAATTTCGGCTTAGCAAAAACTCATTTCCACACTGCACGTGTCAGTTCCAACCAGAAATTATTTTCCAATAAAGCAAAACTCCCTGTCACCACAGTAGCAGCAGCTGGCTCTGAAGAAGTGGAGCCTTTTCACCAGGCTCAACTTTGAAACTTCCACCAGCACCAGCACCACTGTGTCTGCTGATAACTTTGGGACAGGCGGGACGAGGTGTGTTTGTTGGAGGCGAACACGCTTCCTTGTCTTGAGAGTCTTGAGTGGCCGGTCCCCTTCCAGGCCCTTGGCTGGCAGGCAGCTGTCGGGAGAGCTGTCAGGAGGGAGGGGATTGGGGGTCAGGCTTCCTGACAAGTGGAGGCACCCACCATGTGCCCAGAGCAGAGGTCACCCCAGTGCCTTTCTCTGTGGACTTATCCCTGGCTGTAGGTCACAGGGGCCTGCCCCACTGCCCCCTCCCCCGTGGTGACATGGGAGGAGGGGAAATTAATCCAGAGCAGCAGATAAACCAGAGGGGAAGAGCCCCCAGGAGGACAACTGTGACATGTTGCACTGCCTCTGCGTCCCCAAAGCACCAGGCCCAGAGGCCCTGCTTTCTGCCACATGGCACTGGCATGGGGCCCCGGCACCTCTTCCCTGGTGGCCAAGGGTAAATGAGGCCCACTGGGGTGACTAAGACCAAAGGGGATGGGGGCCCCCCAGCTTCGGTGCTGCAGGCTGGAGCCAGGCTCAGCTAGCCCCGAGGTCCCCTGCAGGCTCGTGCCTCCTAGCCTTGGGGCACCTGCAGTGAGAGCTTCCCAAGCAGCCCGTGCCAGCCAGGCAGCGCAGGTGTCCCAGGTCTGGGCCACTTGAGACGCCTCCCTGCTCCTGCTTTGCTCTGCCCCTCTTGGGCCCAGTGGCCAGGACACCTGCATGCGGGAGCCGGGAGGGGCCGGAAGGGGCCGGAAGGATGCTGAAGGCCCCAGCAAAGCTGTAGTGTTTGGCTTCCCAGGGGTGGGGGCTTGGTCCTCCCTCCCAGAAAGACCCCTGTTCTGGAGCAGCAGCTGCACACAGGTGTCCCTCACACGGTCCTCCAGGACAGGGCAGGGGCCTGAGGTTCCCAGGCTCTGCCCAAGGGACCCAGGCAGGGAAGGAGATGAGTCCCAGGGGCTTGAAGCCCATCCGGAGGCCAGCCGGTCCTGCGGCAGGAGGGCACTGGACCATGTGGGGGCCATAGAGGAGGAGGAGGCAGGAACCACCCCCGGGTCCAACAGTGGAACCCTGGGGTTAGGGAGCCAGAGCGGGGAAGGGAGAGAAGGGGCAAGAACATATCTCCATCCCAGCATGGCCCAGAGAGCTGAGCAAACAAACACTTGTCTTCAAGGGCCTTTCTCTTGTCTTTTTTTTGTTTTTCGAAATAGAGTCTTGCTGTGTCGCCCAGGCTGGAGTGCAGTGGTGTGATCTTGGCTCACCACAACCTTTGCCTCCTAGGCTCAAGTGATTTTCATGCCTCAGCCACCCAAGTAGCTGGGATTACAGGCCTGCGCCACCACGCCAGGCTACTTTTTGTATTTTTAGTAGAGATGGGGTTTCTCCATGTTGGCCAGGCTGGTCTCGAACTCCTGGCCCTCCAGTGATCCTCCCGCCTTGGCCTCCCACAGTGCTGGGATTGCAGGCTTGAGCCACCACACCTGGCTTTTTTTTTTTTTTTGAGATGGGGTCTGCAGTGGCATGATCTTGGCTCACTGCAGCCTCCACCTCCCTGGGCTCAGGTGATCCTCCCACCTTAGCCCCCCAAGTAGGTGGGACCACAGGCACATGCCACCATGCCCAGCTAATTTTTTTATTTATAGAGACAAGGTCTTGCCATGTTGCCCAGGCTGGTCTCAAACTCCTGGGCTCAAGCAATCTGCCTGCTTGGGCCTCTCCAAGTCCTAGGATTACAGGCATGAACCACTGGGCCTGGCTTTTCCTCCTTTCTTGGGAGGCTGGGACTATACTTCCAGGAAAGACCCAGAAGCTCAGAGCTGAAACCAGGGCAGCCAGGACTGCCGGGGAGCCCTGGACACTGGCTGTTTGGGAGCCCTTGGTCAGCTGGCACCTGCCATGTGGTGGACGTGGGGCTGTGGAGACCCCACGGCTGGGCTTCTCTCCCCTGAGAACGGGCCTAGCCACAGGACACCTCCCACAGGGCCCCTGAGACCACACTGCCTGCAGCAGCTCCCCCAGGTCCCCTCCCCACACCCGGGCAGCACTCAGCACTACATCTCCATTTGCTCACTCAAGTCGCAGGGCCTGGGGGTTAGTGCCTCCGTCTTGTTTTGCTGGGGGCCTCCAGCATCTAGAACAGGAACGTGTGCTGAAGAAAACCACTCATGCAGGGAGAGGGGCACCTCCCCACTCTAGGTGCTGCTGCTGATCCCTTCCCTGAACACCAACCCATGGCCTCCAGGCCAGGGCCACTTGAAGGATGGTGGACCACTCCGGTGGCCTGGGTTCAGGGCGGGGCCCCACAGCTGAGTTCTGGAGGGAGGGCACAGACGACTGGGGGCTGGGAGGGGCCAGGTGAGGGGTGGGAACAGCGAGGGAGCCCTGCAGGAGGGTTGCCCAGCATGGCCCCAAAGCTGATGGGGCAGGGCAGGGCTGAAACTGCCAAGGAGTCCCAGAGCCCTGAGTGGCATCTAGCGAGGGCCCCTGACCCTGATCCCTGTAGACCCCAGCCCTTCCATGAGGGTGGCAGCCACTCCAGAGCCCAGCAGGGCCGAGGGAGAGGCAAGTGGTCTGGGCCCATGAGGCACTGGGCACAACCAGGTGTGGCACGAGGGTGCCTGGGCGTCTGCTGCCACCACGTGGCGGACTTTGAGGTCGCAGAGCCCAGGGTCCAGGCAGGAAAGCCCCTCAGCTGCCCCCAGAGCCCTGGCCCAGGCCCCTGAGGCCCAAGTGAGCCACCTGGACTTTGTCACTTCGCTTCTTGTTTCTTGGTTAAGGAGCTTGAGTTCTACGCCTTTTGTAAAGAAACGGTGGCGGCGACGGCGGATTTCAAGCTTTATTTACTCCTGGAGTGGTCCTGGGAGGAGAGGCGGCTCCGCAGAGCCGGAAACGGGGGCGGGAGCTGTTGGGTGCAGCCAGGAGGAGGCAGGGCCGGGGCGGGGCGGGCAGCCATCGGGGTAACGGAGGGGGCTCCGGCCCGGGGCCGCCTGGACCGGAAAGGGGACACGGGCGGGGCTCCCCCAGCTGACCTCCCGCCGCACACGCCTGGGCCCCCACCCTCACGCCAGGCCCCCCTCTGCGGTGCAGGACGAAGGAACCCTGGCCTCAGTTTCCCCACAGGCTGGGATCAGGGCCCCTGGGGTTCCGACTGGCTCGGAGGGGGCGGCCTCACTGCAGCGGTCTGGGGGCGGGGCCTGGGGCGGGGGCGGGGCCTGCGCTCACTTCCGCCCGGCGCGCGGGCTCGGATGGAAGCGGCGCGGAGGCCGCGGCTGGGGCTGAGCCGCCGGAGGCCGCCCCCAGCGGGCGGGTGAGGCCGAGGGCCGGGCGGGGGCGCGGCCGGTTTTCCCGCTGCCACGTGCTTCCCGGCGCCCCCGCGGGCCTCCCGCTCTCTTCTCCCCCTGGGGAGGGCTTCCCGCCCCCGGGCCTACCCCCCACGCCCGTCGCCCCACCCCGCACCGCCATTCAGCGCCCGCCTTGAGCCCCCCACCCCATGCCGAGCTTCCCCTGAGCTTCCCTCGCGCCGCCCCAGGCCCTCCCACGCCTCTCCCATCATCGCGTCTCCCCTGAGCACCCCACATCTGCCCACTCTAACTTCCCCGGGCCCTCCGCAATCTCCCCAGCCATCGCCTCATCCCGCTGAGGACCCCATATTTTCACCCACACCCCCGCCCCCAGTACCCCTTGTCTCCTCACTGCCCCAGCAGCCCTTCCCCCAACCCTGCCCCCCACCTCCCCCACCATCGAATTTCCCTCTGGTACCCCCCATCTCCCCGCTGTGTCTGCTGCAGGCCCTCCCAGGTCCCCCCACCATAGCGTTTCCCCGGCTGAGTACCCCGTCTCCTTTTTCTGTCCGCCCCAGGCCTTCTGGCGGCCGCCCCTGGTTTCTTCTGGGGGGTGATGAGCGGGAGCGGCTCTGGGCCGAGCTGCTGCGCACGGTGAGCCCAGAGCTCACCCTGGACCACGAGGTGCCTCCACTGCCCGCCTTCCCTGGACAGGTGTGCCCACCGGGCCCATCGCAGCGGGGGAGGGGTTTCCAGGGCGAGAGCCGCCGCTGGGCGAGGCCCAACAACTCCATGTTGCAGGAGCCCAGGTGCGGCCCGGAGCCCACTGAAGCCTTCACTGTCGGACCCAAGACCTTTTCCTGGACGCCCTTTCCACCAGACCTGTGGAGCCCGGGCCGCTCCTACCGGCTGCTTCGCGGGGCAGGAGGGCACCTGGAGTCCCCCGCCAGGTCCCTGCCCCAGCGCCCGGCACCTGATCCCTGCAGGGCCCCCAGAGTGGAGCAGCAGCCGTCCGTGGAGGGTACCGCCCTGCGCAGCTGCCCCATGTGCCAGAAAGAGTTCGGCCCCAGGTGAGTGGGCCACCCTGTGCCCCGCCCGGTTTTCCATCCGTGTTTGGAAACCACAGCCGTTCAGAAGGTCAAGAGGTGGCCGAGCTCAGCGCTGGCTTTTAAAGCCCTGTTTCACACGTGGAAACGTGGTCCAGTGCTGTGGCCTGGCATGTCCGGGTGGCTGGCTGTCACGGGTCTGGGGTCCCCCTGCTTTCCGTGCTCTGGGGGCAGGGCAGGCTGGGGGCCCACAGACAGCGCAGAAGGAAGGCTGGGGAGCACTGGCCCCGGGTCCACCTGGCCATCTTGGAAGCTGGTGGCACCGGCGTCCCCAGGCCCAGAGCACGGGAACACCTTCCCCAGAGTGGGTCATGGGTTTTAAAAATGAAGATCATCTTTTTTGTCTGGAGATGCTTTTTCTTATTTTGAAGCCCACTGTATACTTACATATATATTTTTAAGTAAAGGGGAATGGAACCCAGTTTTACTAAGAAGATAGCCCAAACTGCCCAGTGCCTGGGCTCGTGTCTGGTGACCTCCGGGCCCTTGGCCTCCTGAGCAGGCACCTGGGGCCGGCGCCGTGTGAATGATGCTGGTTCCTAACTTTTGGTTGAGTTAATGGGCGGCAGGTTTCAGATCTCACGTGGCCAGGAGACCGGGTCCTTCAGTCATGCCTGATGCCCCTGGTCTTCTAGAAGCCAAAACAGCTCGGGAATGTGAAGGGACCGGAGTCCAAAGTTAGCAGCCAACAACAACAACAACAACAAAAAAAGGCCAGGCGTGGTGGCTCAAGCCTGTAATCCTAGCTCTTTGGGAGGCTGAGGCGGGCAGATCACGAGGTCAGGAGTTTGAGACCAGGAGTTTGAGGTCAATATGGTGAAACCCCATCTCTACTAAAAATATAAAAATTTAGCCAGGCGTGGTGGTGGGTGCCTGTAGTCCCAGCTACTTGGGAGGTTAGGAGAATCGCTTGAACCCGGGAGGCGGAGGTTGCAGTGAGCCGAGATTGCGCCACTGCACTCTAGCCTGGGTGACAGAGTGAGACTCCGTCTCAAAAAAAAAAAAAAAAAAAAAAAAGGCCAGGCGCGGTGGCTCAACCTGTAATCCCAGCACTTTGGGAGGCCGAGACGGGTGGATCGCGAGGTCAGGAGATCGAGACCATCCTGGCTAACACGGTGAAACCCCGTCTCTACTAAAAAATACAAAAAATGAGCCCAGCTACTTGGGAGGCTGAGGCAGGAGAATGGCGTGAACCCGGGAGGTGGAGCTTGCAGTGAGCGGAGATCGCGCCACTGCACTCCAGCCTGGGCGACACAGCGAGACTCCATCTCAAAAAAAAAAAAAGAAAAGCACAAAACGACTGAATTAGTTATCAAAACCCGCAGCAGAAAACCTGTACAGGCAGTTCTTCAGGCGAGCCAGTGCTCATCCAGAGAGAAGAAGTGCCCTGGAAACAGGCTCCTCCAAAACGGGGCACTTTATGGAAGCAAGCCCTGCAGGGCCTGAGGTTGGGGTGAGCCCCACGGCACCCCCAGCACCCCACCTCCACGTCACACATGGACAGCACAGGGAGGGGCCTGGTGACACATACGTGGGGCTTGGTGGGTGAGCAGTGCAAGGGCCAGGGCCCAGGGCAAAGTGCCCCCGCCCTCCTGGCAGTGCCCAGAGCCTGCAGCAGGAGCAGAGCATTTTTCAAAAACATATCCAGGCCCAGCCGTCGCTGCACACGCCTCTTCCTCGGGCTGGCGCCTTGTGATTGTCGTGAACTACGGCGCTGTCCCACACTGGCGCCTTGTGATTGTCGTGAACTACGGTGCTGTCCCACACTGGCGCTTTGTGATTGTCGTGAACTGCGGCGCTGTCCCACACTGGCGCCTTGTGATTGTCGTGAACTACGGTGCTGTCCCACACTGGCGCCTTGTGATTGTCGTGAACTGCGGCGCTGTCCCACACTGGCGCCTTGTGATTGTCGTGAACTACGGTGTTGTCCCACACGCTGATTCTGCTGAGGCAGGGGATTTTTTTTGTAATTGTGAAGACTTCTTGATTCCTGCCCATCAAAAGAAATCCTGGGGGCCGGGCACGGTGGCTCACACCTGTAATCCCAGCACTTTGGGAGGCTGAGGCAGGTGGGTTGCTGGAGCCCAGGAGTTTGAGACCAGCCTGGGCAACATAGCACGATCCCATCTCTAGACGCCTGGGCGTAGTGGCACCTGTGCCTGTGGTCCCAGCTCCTCTGGAGGCTGAAGTGGGAGGATTCCCTTGAGCCAGGAATTGGAGGCTGCAGTGAACTATGATTGCACCACTGCACTCCCGCCTGGGCGACAGAGTGAGATCCTGAATCTAAAAAAAAAAAAAAGTCCCCAGACGGAAGGTGCCGTTGGGAGCCCCGGTAGAAATCCACGTTCTTGGCTGAAGCTCAGAGAGCCTCGTGGCCGTCAGGGCGCTGCCCCCTGCCCCCCGGGTAGGCACTTTTGTCTTTGGATCGCGTGCTTTTCCAGATCGTCTAAAAAAAGACGCCTGAAGACGAGGACGTTCACGAGGAAAGAGTTGCCGTTTTGAGCTTTTTAAGCAGTTGCTGAAAGCTTGGCAGACTGCCTCGATTTTTCCTCAGTAGGCGTCAGTGAAGTCAGGTCCAGGCCTTGGTGTGTCTGGAATGCTTCAAGCACATTCGAACACTTGATTGTAAGGGAGAGCCAGTACTTTGGAACGGAACTCACCCGAGGCTGTGGCCATGGCATGGGCAGGCTAGCTGGGAGACAAGCCCCGTGTCTTTGGGAACAAGGGTTTGCACAGCCCGATGCCCTGGGACTCATGACCGGACAGGACCCCAGCAGGGAGGCCGCCTGGCTTGGAGGGTCTGGTCTAACAGCCGGACTTGGCCTTGAACCGTTGCCCTGTCCCGCACAGACGCCTGCTGAGCCTGGAGCCCTGGCAGAGGCGGGTCTGAGGAGTGGAGCTGCCGGCAGGCCTCCCATTTCTCGCGTCCTTGGTGTTCTCCGGGTCACCCAGAGAACTGTCAAATGCTGGATTTGACAAACTATGTAGAACGTTCTTTGTGTCTTTAAGGTCCTCTTGTGGTCCTATTTGGACATTTTGTGCATTTTCAGACACCTGCGGGTCACGTGGGTGGATGGGAAGCTGGGCACCTGGTGAGGGTGCTGAGAGCTGGAGCTGTGTTTTGTCTCTGTTGATGTGGTGAGGCCCTGGGTTGGTCATTGGGTTTGGTTGGTTGGTTTGTTTTTGAGAAGGAGTCTCGCTCTATCACCCAGGCTGGAGTGCAGTGTGCAATGGCATGATCTTGGCTCATTGCAACATCTGCCTCCCGGGTTCAAGCGATTCTCCTCCTGCCTCAGTCTCCTGAGTAGCTGGGATTACAGGCGCCACCATGCCTGGCTAATTTTTGTATTTTTAGTAGACACGGGGTTTCACCATGTTGGTCAGGCTGGTCTTGAACTGACCTCAGGTGATCTGCCCGCCTCGGCCTCCCAAAGTGCTGGGATTACAGGTGTGAGCCGCCGCGCCCGGCCGGTCGTTGGGATTTTAACGGCCCTGAGGCCCCTCACACTGCCAGATGCCAGCCCACCCAGCAGCCCTGCTCCCCTGCCCACACGCAGAAGCCACCAGAGGCTTCTAGGCTGAGCCCCCACTGTCCTGCAGTCGGGTTGGCCCCTCCACACTGCAGGGCCTGGATGTGTCTGCTCAGTAGCCGAAGCCTCACAGACGGGGCAGATGAGGCCGGGACAAAGCTCTTCCGCTGCAGGCAGGGGTCTGAAGGCATCTCAGAGGGCCCCCACCCAAGGGACATTGCCTGGAAACCCTGGGACAAGATGACCTCGGTTCACATCTTAAGACCTTCTGGCAGCCTTAGAGAAAGCTTGTGGAGGGAGGGGCTGGTTCCCAGGATGGGCAGAAGCTGGAAAGTCTCAGACTGAGCGACCCTCGGGGGCTTCAGAAGGCACTGGGTGGGCTCTGCCAGAGTGAGGAGGCAGCTGATGGCCGCTGGAGCCGGCCCCGGGAGTGGGGGTCCAGCTATGGTCTGGAGAGGGGGACTTGAGGGTTGCAGTGTCCATACAGATGGGGCACAGGAGCCACAGGAAGGGACACGGCAGAGCCCAAGGGCCAAGCGGCGCTCCGTGGACTGGTCTGAGGGCAGAGGCTGTTGGGGAGCGAGGGCGGTGTGGCTGACAGGTGGACACAGGGACATGTTTCTGTGGACTTGGCCGCTCGGTGGGGGTGTATCCCCCAGCAGTGGTGTATGAGGGATGGTCACTCTGATGGGACACCGGCCACTTGGCCTCCAGCAAGATCTAGGCCCGAGTCTAGGTTGAAGCCGCCCACTCAGCCCCAGGACATCGTCCCCGGCGGCTCTGCTGAGCACGCCAGCTATGGTGCCCTCGGGGGGTCATGGCCGGAAGTCGACCGTCCTGGCTTCCAGGGCCACACCTTGGCCAGGCCGGTGATGGTCGTGTCCGGCCGCTCCAGTTGGGCTGATGGGGCAGTGAGTGAGTGCGGCTCCTCCCTTGCAGGCTGACCCAGCTGGATGTTGACAGCCACCTGGCCCAGTGCTTGGCGGAAAGCACAGAAGACGTGATGTGGTGAGCACCATCCAGGGAGCCCTGCGCAGTGTGCGGCGCCCGGACGCGCCCTCCCCCTGCAGAAGCCCCTCCTCTCAGCTCTCCAGCTTGTGCATTAAAGCAGGGCGGGCGCCTGTCTCTGTCTCTCTTCGTGTTGTGATGGAACATCTGTGTTTTTCTTTCTGACGTTTGGTTTAGGGCAGATTCACTGCAGTGAAATCAGAACCGGACACAGCCCCAGGCGGGTAAGCTGACCCCTTTCACCTGGCGCCCCGCGGGGGACGGCGGACGGGCTGAGGGCCGCTCGCTTTCCTAACTTTGTGGACAGGCCTGGTTCGCTCACGTGCAGTCACGGTTTTGTCCTTTTTTTGAGACAGGGTCTTGCTCTGTCGCCCAGGCTGGAGTGCAGTGGTGCAGTCACGGCTCATTGCAGCCTTAGACTCCTGGGCTTGATGATCCTCCCACCTCAGCCTCCTGAGTAGCTGGGACTACAGGTGCGTGTCACCACACACAGCTACTTTTAGTACTTTTTGTACAGATGGAGGGGTCTTGCCATGTTGCCTAGGTTGGTCTTGAACTCCTGGGCCTGAGCAATCCTCCCGCCTTGGCTTCCTGAAGTGCTGGGATTATAGGCGTGAGTCACCGGCCCCAGCCTCTGGTTGTGTTTTTTGTTGTTGTTTTTGAGACAGAGTCTCACTCTGTCACCCAGGCTGGAGTGCAGTGGTGTGGTCTAGGCTCACTGCAAGCTCCGCCTCCCAGGTTCACGCCATTCTCCTGCCTCAGCCTCCCGAGTAGCTGGGACTATAGGCGCCTGCCACTATGCCTGGCTAATTTTTTTTTTTTTTTGTATTTTTAGTAGAGACGGGGTTTCACCGTGTTAGCCAGGATGGTCTCGATCTCCTGACTTTGTAATCCACCCGCCTCAGCCTCCCAAAGTGCTGGGATCACAGGCGCGAGCCACCGTGCACGGCCAAAAACACCTACTTTTAATAATAATGATGTAAGCATTTTCATTAAAGTCTTTAATGGATGTATAAGACTTTGAATGACCCTGGCCATCGAGGGTGTCATCCACGGGAGAGCCGGTCAGCCACGGGCTCCATGGGCAGCTGCCCCGCACCGCGCCCACGCAGGCCCACCGTGCAGCCCCCAAGTCACCAGAGTTTAGGAATCACTTCCAAAAGACACACCGTTGTGACCGGAGCCATTGGCAAATATCAGGATTTTTCAAAGCACACTTCAATACATCCTTCACTTTAATTTATAAAACAAATGACGGAATAGAAAAGTCTCCCCTGTGATGAGCACAGTGTTACTCACATTGTGTACAAGAACAGCCCAACTGGTAACCGGCACGCTGTTGGCAACACGGCAGTATTTAGGTCAGTGCCTTAAATATTTAACAAATCAAGGAGGGTCATGGAAAGCAGTTTGCTTGTTAACCACTTCCGGGATACACTGGGGGTCTCCCACTCAAGGTGGGGTCCCAGCAGCCCTGCTCCCCCGGCAGGTGTGACTTCAGCGGCTGCAGGCTGGGCCCCGCTACCTGGACATCCCCATGCTGGTCTGGGACACCTGTGTGAGACCCAGGTCGGCTCCTGGACCCTGCCCTGGGGCTTCTAACTTTCCGTCTTTGGAGGAGAGTCTCACTGGCTAAGGTTGGGAGTGTGGCTGGAACCCATCTCCACATTCCATCCAGAAGCCTGAGCTGGGGGAGGGGCGGGGTGTGCCCAGCGCCGTTCTTGTCCCAGCACCTGGGGCTCGGGTGTGAATCCACCACGTCGTGCTCAGCGCCAGGCATGGAGCGGTGCCCTGAGAAACCTGAGTGTAGGGTGGACCACGCTCACCTGGTGGGTATGACTTTGAGGCAAGGCAAGGCGTGGCGCGAACCTCCTAACTTGAGGTTTTCGTATCTCCTCCCGAAGCCACCAGCCGCACGGTGGGGTGGAGCGGCCCCTGAGTCATGGAGGCCTGGGGTCTCCGCCTGGCCAAGAGGGCTGCATGGCAATTTCCACACCTGTGCACCAGGCCCCACTCAGAGGCACAAGGTGGTGCGACCCCCCTCCCAGAGAGCTCAGAAGACGGCTCCGCCACACCTGACCCCTGGCAGCCGGCAGACCTGCCTCTAGGAAGCCTCGGCTCTGGGCAGCTGTCCCTTCACCGGAGGGGTGGGAGGACGGAGAGCGCGGGCGCGTCCCGGGAGCAGGAGGGAGCGGAAGGTCCGTGCTGCTGGGAGGATTGCCTGTGTTTCCGGATGTCTGTAGGGTCATCATTTTGAACTTTAAGGCTGGGGTCTGTCACACATACATCTGTTAGTTTTCCCTAACTCTCAGTACTGTGTGACAGGTAAGAATATTTTCCAAAAGTCAAACGCGTTGCACGAGGGATCATGCAGGCACTGCTTAGTGTGGTCAGAAATGGATTTGTGCAGATTTAGTTTTCAATTTTCTTTTTCTCTTTTTTGGTCTACTGTGCTTTGGTGAGCCACATTTTAGAATCTCTATGATCCAATTTCCCCATCGGTCCAGTGAGCTGGCTGGCCCAGCCGCCACCTGCTTAAGGTGTCACTTCACCCTGAGACCACAGCGGCTGGGCACACGCTCTGCAGGAACAACCACAGGAACTTACCGGGCTTTAGGAAACGGTGCGAGTTTGTACACTTCTTGATTGCGTGTGTCCCCACAGGCACTTACACTCCCGCCCCCACCTGTGTCCTGCTGGCTCCTAACCTGCCCCCCTCCATGTGGCTGTATCGGAGACGTGGGGCAGGCGCCACTCACGGAAAAAAGGCATCAGAGGGGCTTCCACATCATCGGAACTTTTATTCCTCAGGACGCTACACGCTCCCTTTCCTGGCGGGGCAGGTCAGTGCATCGAGTTCTGTTTCCGTGGAAAATGTGCACCTTGGAAACTGCATGACAGCCCCTCAGCAGGGTCCCCGCGGCCACCGCGACACAGGCTCAGCAGCAAGTTCCTCCAGCACGAAGCTGGCCTGCCCGGGCCCAGGTGTGAGGGACCGTTCTGCTCCCAGCAGCGCCTGCCGACGCTTCCCTCCGTGGTCTCGGCGCAAGCGTCTGTCCCTGGCTGCCCTCGGAGCCGTGCCCAGCCTGGCATGCATATGCGGTGGTTAAGGATACAGTTAAAGGGTCAATCACGCATGTCCACGACAGAGACGCAGCGGCCTCACACCGACTCCTCGGTGGACAGCAGTAATGGGTTGATGTACTCGAAGCCTTCGAACTCCGACTGGTCGATCCTCTTTATGGCATCCCTGTGGGCAAAGGCGGCAGGGGGCGGGGGGGATGACCTGTGTTCATTCCCTCTGGGGAGGGGAGTCACATTCGCAAAAGAATCCTCCCCCAACGCCCACCGGAGAGAGGACGCCAGGCGGGCAGGACTCAAGGGCAGGCCGGGTCACCAGCCGCCCAAGGTGCCGGCCTGCCATGGGGCTGCCCGGAGGGGGGGGTGCTCCGGGGTCCCCGCACCCAGTGGGACTTACTCATCGTCTGGGGTCAGCTGCACGGGCTCGCTGGTGAACTGTGTGTCAAAGTTGTCCAGACCGTAGTCGTCCGTGATCTGTGGCTGGAATGGAGGGAGCGCCTGCTTCTTCTCCAGCTTGGAAAAACAAGGCAAGAAGGGTCAGCTCCGCGCGGGCATCATCCCTACCAGATTGAGAGTTCCGCATGCACTTGAATCACAGAATGAAACACTGAGAAACTCAGCATTTCAATCTGCCTAGTATTTGAATGCCAAGTGTTTCTTCTTACAACACAGAACCTAGAAAATCTCCAAAGTCAGAAAAATTGTTGTCGAGCTGAGAGGAACGCCGGAAGTGTGGGCCACGCTGGCCACATGTGGGATGGAGCGGGACCCCCGGCCACCCTTGTGAGGCCACCCCCTTCCTGGGGGTCCTTGTTGAGAGGGGCACCAACGCTAACTGGCTGAACAAGCCGTCTCATGACGTCTTGGAACCCTGACCATAAAGGCGCAGGACCTGCCCACAGCACCCTGCCTGCACTGGTACCGCACGATCCATCTGTCAGGAGCCTCCTGCCGGCCGTTTCCGCCTATCCAGGCATCGACTTCAGAATCTCAGGTGCTGCTTGGCAGGAAAATGCCCAGCAGGTGGGCCTCGGCTCAAGGCTCACTTCTGGCCACTGCGTACTGGGCCTTGGTGATGCACCTGTGCCAGGGAGGGCAGAACGCTGGTGCCTGGCACAGGTGCCACAACACACACAGGTGAGGACAATGAAAGCCCCTCAGTTCCCCTGACTCATGGCCACTTGTCCCAGTGACACAGCTATGCTCTCTCACCCACCCACAATAGGGTCTGAATGTGCCCCCCAGATTCAGTGAGAAACTCATTCCCCAGAGCAACAGTGTAGGAGGTGGGGCCCGATGGGAGCCCTCACAGACGGATTCCTGGAGCTGTCAAGACAGCTTGGGCATGGATTCCTCTCTGCCTTTTGCCATGAAGGCACGTGGCCTTCCTCCCCTCTCCCCTCTGGGGAATGCGGTGTTTGGGCACCCTCTTGGAAGCAGAGATCTGGCCTCACCAGACACCAAGCCTGCTGGCACCAAGACCCTGGACTCCCAGCCTCCACAGCTGGGAACAACCTCTGCTTCCTGGAAATAACCCAGGCTCAGGTAGTCTGTTACAGCAGCACCAAGACAGACATTCACGCTCTCCCTCCCTCACTGTCTAACCCACTCCGACTCACGCTCTCCCTCCCTTGCTATCCCACTCACTCATTCACTCGCTCACTCTCTAGCCCACTTTTTTTTTTTTTCTTTTTGAGATAGAGCCTCGCTCTGTTGCCCAGGCTGGAGAGCAGTGGCGCAATCTCGGCTCATTGCAACCTTCGACTCCCTGGTTCAAGCTACTCTCCTGCCTTAGCCTCCTGAGTAGCTGGGACTACAGGCGCCCACCACCACGCTCGGCTAATTTTGTTGTTTTTTTTTTTAAGATGGAGTCTCGCTCTGTCTCCCAGGCTGAAGTGCAGTGGTGTAATCTCAGCTCACTGCAGCTTCACCTCCCAGGTTCACGCCAGGTTCACGCCATTCTCCCGCCTCAGCCTTCTGAGTAGCTGGGACTACAGGTGCCTGCCACCACGCCCGGCTAATTTTTTGTATTTTTAGTAGGGTCAGGGTTTCACCATGTTAGCCAGGATGGTCTTGATCTCCTGCCCTCGTGATCCGCCCGCCTCGGCCTCCCAGAGTGCTGAGATTACAGGCGTGAGCCACTGCGCCCGGCCCTCTCTAGCCCACTCATTCACTCACTCCCTTGCTCTCTAACCCACTCCCACTCACTCACTCATACGCTGGCTCACTCACTCTCTAACCCACTTTCTCTCTCTCCTTCCCTTCCCTTGCTCGTTCTCTAGCCCATCCTCCCACACTCATTCACTGCCCCCCCGCCAGGTGCGTGCTCCTGTGCAAGACTGAGATCCAGCTGTCAGCAATAGGCACCATTTGACCCCAGCCTCGTGGAGCCACCAGGCTTGAGGGGAGGACGTAACGTCACTCTGCTCCCTTTAGTGCCAGCCAGGATGGGGCTGGGTGGGTGCGGCTGGTGAAAAGAATGCAGCCTCCCAGTTGCTCTCCGAGGCCCCCAGCCCCTGCAGACCAAGCAGAAAGCCCAGCTCACAGGCAGATTACAGGGCACCCAGCAGCTGCCTTCCCTCCGGAAAAGCCAAGAAGGATCCCAAGACCAGAAATGCCCCCAGCGTGGCTGTGCCTGTCCCTGGTGCCCTGCCTGCTGGGGGGCAGCACCCCAGATGTACCCTGCCCATGCTGGCACCACAGGGATCCCCATCCTCAGGACCCTCCAGTCATTCAAGCTAGAATTGGCGGGTTTCTGCCTGTATAGGCATCGGCTTCCGAATCTCAGGTGCTGCTTGGCAGGAAAATGCACAGCAGGAGGGGCTGGGCCTTGGCTCCAGGCTCCCGGGCGCACCCCCCGCTCTCCACTGTGGGGTCCAGAGTGGTCAAGAACAGCCACAACAACAAAAGCCAAACTGGGAACAGAATCATGGAAAAAACCCTCATAGGCTTTTGGGAACTTACAAAGAAATGCTCACATACATTCTACTAACGTGGCACCTACTAGGACTCCACAAAATAGACAAACTTCCACGTCAGGCTGGACACGTGTCAGGGCTGTGGCCGTCTCAAAGTGGGGCCACCGGCAGCATCCACGGCCAGGCCACTGGGTGGAGACGGTGCTGGGGAGGAGCCGGGGGGATCAGGGCTGTCCCCTTAGGCAGAGTGGGTCACCTGTGGTGTGTGCACAGCAGGGTTGTGGGGACACAGGATGGCCCCTTCATCAGTTACCTACATTCTTTGTATGAAACACTTCCTGATAAAATGTGGAAAACGGGGTATTTTTCCACCTGAGTCCTGGGCTGCTTTGTAAACAAGTGGCAGGGCGGGAACAGAGCAGGACCCAGCTGGAGCTGGCTCAGCGTCCTCCAGCCCCTGGCCCAGCCCGTTCTCTGCTACGAGGGCTCGAGGTTGCCTCGGTTTCCCTGACAGCATCCCCAAGGGCCAGCGTTGCCTCCTCCTCTTGCTCAAAAGCCTTCAGTGCCCATCTCTGCAGCTGGAATGTGGGCTCCAGATCGGGGCCCATGGTGGCCTGATGCCTTTTCCCACCGCTGCTCCCTGCACCCAGCCCATGCATGGACACCCTGGCCTCTCAGAACAGTGCATTTGAATGCACACTGGCCCCAGGTTGGACACTGTGGCAATAACAGGTGCTGCCCCTGTGGCTGCAACCACAGTGACCTGAGATACAACAGGGGGCTTGCTCTGTGTCAATGGGGCTGGGGGCCCAAGGGCTCCAGTTCTGAAGGGACATCTGAGAAACAGCCTGAGGGAGCTGAGGGCTGGAGCCTGGGGAGGGCACAGCCATGCAAAGGCCCCATAGTGGGCACATACCTTGTGTGCTGGGGGCCACAGAGGGGCCCCATGAGGCCTAAGTGAAGGGGCTGAGGAGAAAGACACTTTTGGACACAGGAGGACACTGCTCTCCACAGGGCCAGGCAGGATGCTGGTGGCCTGGAGGAGGTGGCAGGGGTGGGGCGGGGAGCAGCAGCAGGGCTAGGGGGCTGGGCTAAGGCCTGCGTGGCAGAGCATGGTCAGGCACAGGATGGATGAGCCCTGCATGTGCTGGGTAGGGCCTGGAGGTCTCCAAGGGGACAGCATGCTGGGGTCTGCTTTGGCCACACAGAAACATCCCGGAGTCAGTTTGGCAATGATCGGGGGAGGTCCCTGAGACCACCCGGCACTGTTGGGGTGATGACTGGTGAGCACCTGGGCTGCCACTGGATGCAGGGCCGGGCCCAGGAGGCAGTGCCCCAGGGGAAGCATGGGACTCCCAGGCTCCTGGTGAGCAAATCACAGGAAACGCCCAGAGAGCCCTGGGGTGGCGGCATAGCAGCGGTCATCCGAGCATCCGAGTCACCTGTGCGTCCGAGTCATCCGTGCGTTGGAGTCATCTGTGCGTCCGCGTCATCTGTGCGTCCACGTTGTCTGTGGATCTGAGTTGTTCGTGTGTCCACATCATCTGTGCATCCATGTCATCCGTGTGTCCACATCATCTGTGTCCACGTCATCCGTGTGTCCACGTCGTCTGTGCGTCCACGTCATCTAAGTGTCCACGTCATCTAAGTGTCCACATCATCCATGCGTCTATATCATCCATATGTCCACGTCATCTAGGTGTCCATGTCGTCCGGGTGTCCACGTCGTCTAGGTGTCCACGTCGTCCGTGCGTCCACGTCATCTAGGTGTCCACGTCGTCCGTGCGTCCACGTCTAGGTGTCCACGTCGTGCGTGTGTCCACGTCGTCTAGGTGTCCACGTCGTGTGTGCGTCCACGTTGTCTAGGTGTCCATGTCGTCCGGGCGTCCACGTCATCTAGGTGTCCATGTCATTCACATCTAGGTGTCCATGTCATCCACGCATCCGTGCATCCGAGTTGTCTGTGTGTCTGCAGCCGGTCCCCACGCATTTTCATAAACACACAGGTCGGCCTTAAAGCCCCACCAAGGTTCCACCACTCAAGGCTCCAGCTGGAGGCCCCACACCTGCCCTGTGCCACGCAGCATGGGGTGGACAGAGGGGTTCGTGGGTGGCCAGGCCAGGGCACTGCTGCCTTCTACACACTCCAGGCTTGAGAGTTTTACAGCCACACAGGTTGGCCCTGGGTAGTGGGGCCGGCACCAACCCAGCTGTGGGGCCTGTCCCTCTCCATGAGGTCACAGCTGTGATCCCCACTTCTGACGGCCTCCACTGCCCCACATCTCCCACAACTGCCTCCCGCCCATTCCCACCCCCCGCCCAGACACAGGCCATCTCTCTGTGGGCCTCTTGTCACCTGCCCTCTTCTGTGTCTTTCCGTTTTCCCCTCCCCTGCCACCGGCTCCTTGCGCAGCACACGACGTGGCCGGGTTCCTCCCGCCGAGCTCCTAGGAATGTGCCTGTCGCGCGTGGGGCAGTCCTGAGGCTCCCACGACACGAAGCATCACAGTCCTCGCTCCTCCCGGGAGCCTCCCACCGGCATGGACGTCAGAGTCCTCGCTCCTCCCAGCAGCCTCCCACCAGCAGCCCCAGGCCCACGCCATGGACGTCAGAGTCCTCGCTCCTCCCGGGAGCCTCCCACTGCCAGCCCCAGGCCCACGTCATGGACGTCAGAGTCCTCGCTCCTCCCGGCAGCCTCCCACCGGCAGCCCCGGGCCC